CCTGCTACCAAAGAAGGGCAAGTTGCACAAAGGGTTAACATAAGAGATCAATAGATTAGCAGCAGAACAGATATCCCTTCCAATCAAGATCTTACAGTGAGATAAGTCCAAAGACCCCTAACCCTCTCCTAAGGACCAGTCAAGAAAATAGTAAGCAGAGTAAATATAAGAGGAGCCTGGTTTATTAATCCATTTCCTTTTCTTTAATGAGATTAGTAGTGTTTCTTTCAGATACTTGATCACTAAAACTTCTACACGGAACAGTATGTTCTTTGCAGAAAAAGCTAGAGAACAAGGTAAACTATGATCACATCAAACAATGCCTTATCAAATCAACCTGTATCCAAATACATCATACAATGCTAGTGACTAATGCTGATTTTTGGCCAACCTTGCAGCTCACATTAGCATATCAGTTGTAGTTCCTGGGCAATGGTTTTGGTCTTCCAAATAAGTTGAGATCATAAACTTTTTGTTGGTGTTCCCTGCCAGACAAAGAAGTGGTTTCACACTCAGCCTTTTCCAGACCACCAAAAGACAATAAGACACTAACGCAACCCAACCCACTCCATATGCAACTCCTGCCAACTCCAAATCTCCTAAAACAATAAGCTGAACAAAATGGGGTTTATGTGAGGTCCACCACCTCTGCCTGAGAATGAATCATAAAACCACTAGAACTCCATTCCCCAGCCGCACGCTGCCTAGCCCCCACCTACTCAAACTGTGCATAATGAAAATGAAATCAGGAACACACTGAACTTAAAACCTCAAGTACATTTTAAATCCAGTTTTAGATTCACCTATATTAACAGAGGTCAGGCAACTTCTTTATTCAAGCTAAGTTATTCTTACTGGTTTAATAACAAAAGTGGTCAGACACATTTTTCTACTAAAAAAAAAAAAAAATACCCTGACAAAGAAGTACATTCTAAAACTCAGCAGAGAATGTGGAAATAGCCTGCAATAAACTTTGCCTTACAAAATAACTAATGAAGGAAATAACCAGTTATTTGGCAATGGGAAACAACCATTTGTCTATTATTACATATTTTGTAGGTCATTAATTAAAAGTACTTTTTTATTTTCCAGCATAGCATTTTTCAAAAATGTCTTACAAAGAGCACCAGTGCAACAAGAGAAAAGCAAATCATGTACTTTTGAGAAGCTCTGCCTTCTCTGGTCCCCTTCTTAGAAGTGACTAATGTACATTTGCATATTAAAGACTGAGACTGAGACTCTGTGGAATCCCTCATTTCCCCAAGTTCACTTGGCACTGCATCCCTTTTTCTCTCATAACACATATCAACAGCCCACAAAATGTCTATTCTACCAAGCACAATTTGGGAAAGATTTCTTTTAGAATAGGGATATAGGCCAGGAGTGGTGGCTCAGACCTGCAATCCCAGCACTTCGGGAGGCTGAGGTGGGCAGATCGCTTGAGCTCAGAAAACTAGCCTGGGCAACATGGTGCAGCCCCATCTTTATCAAAAATACAAAAAAAATAGCCGGGCATGGTGACACATGCCTGTAGCACCAGTTATTCAGGAGGCTGAGGTGGGAGGATCACTTGAACCTGGGAAGTAGAGGTTGCAGTAAGCTAAGACTGCACCACTGTACTCCAACCTGGGTGACAGAGTGAGACCCCATCTCAAAAAAAAAAAAAAAAAAAAAGAAAAGAAAAGAAATGGAGCATAGTAAAATAGTTAAGAGCTGAGACTCCAGAGTCAGCCTGATTCAAATACCAGCTTCACCATGTTAGCAGTGTAACATTGGGTTTGTCCCTTAGTTCCCCCAGGTAAGATGGGCAAAGTAATAGCACCTACCTTCTAGGCCATGGGCCTTTCCATCTGAGTGGAATAGTCTTCTGAGATCCTCACATGGCTGGTTCCCTGACAACCCAATATAAAATTAGCCCCACCCAGATCACTAGTGCTTCACTCTCTTCTTTTCTTCATGACATGCCTCTATTTAGCCATAAAATTGTTATCTATTTTACTCCAATAGAATGTAAGCACCATGAAGGTAAATTTTATTAATTATTGCCATATCCCAAAATAGATCTTCAATAAGTATTCATCCAACAAAGGAATGGATGGATGGATGGATGAGGTGACTCAATATCAATCAATGTAAAGCACTCTTCATGATGCCTGACACATAAGCTGATGCATACAAATACCATTTTGAAAATTTTTGAGGAACGATGAGTAGTTAATACATGCATAATCATAATTCTCCCAATAAGTAATATTCTGATTCCACAGTGCATTTTCTTGCTGTATTAGAAGTAAACATTTCACAACATTCATTCAGAGGTGTGCTAGTAAACAGGCTTTCAGGAATAGGCAAGGGAATGGGGAAGGTAGGCCCTAAGAGTAGCATCTTCCAATTTCCATGGTGTAAATACACCAAATATGACCAATTTCAGGCTATCTGTGTTTTAACACCAGGATCATGAGATTCCTAAGAATTTAACAAATGGCTCTCACAAAGCAGTACAACCCTTCTCTTGGGAATGATCCTTTCAGAACTTCAAGACTTGTTTGTTGAGTTCAAGTTTAACATGGTTTTTTTATGTACAGATATATTTTCCAAATTCTGCCCTTCTTGATGAGCTAAAATAAGGGCTACCTACTCACTTTGGTCTGATGTTGAAGGAAACTAGTTGAATGTATTGGGATGCTCTTTCTGTGTCCCCCTCTTTGTGCTTTCAAACTGGTGTTTAAGGATCTAAACATGATCTATATCCATACCAGACCATTGTGAGGACCAGCCAATCTCAGAAAACCTAAGAGTAATTGTGTTAAAATTCATTTAAATGGAGGCAGCCAAATAAGGCACCATCTAGTAAGTGCTATCAACAAGCAGAATCTAACTGCAGAAGAATGACTTCACCCTGACCACAAAATCCCAACAAGGAGGGAGAAATGGTGCTGCAGATGGAGATTTCTCTGGCATCACAGCCTTGCTGCCCCTTAGCATCAAAATAAAAGAGTCACTTTTTCCAACTACAGTGATCCTCTATCAACTGCAGTTTTGAGATTACACAAAAAAAGTTCAAAATTCACAGTTAATCTACATGCAAGTAACAACATGCCAGTAATTACTGCTTCTCTTCTGTAAACTACATAAGAGGTCTATGAATAAGACATGGAGAAAATTCCTTTCTGCTCTACTGTATTTGTTATCTATTGCTGTGTAACAAATTACTTCAAAATTCAGCAGCTTAAAACAGTACACATTTATTATCTCACAGTTTCTGTGGGTCAGGAATCCAGGCACAGCTTAAGTGGGTCCTCTGCTTCACAGTCTCTCACAGCCTGCAATCAACACATCAGCCCAGGACCTGTTATCTCATCTGAAGTTTTGACTGGGGAAGTATCCACTTCCACGCTCACTAAATGGTTGTTACCAGTTTTCCATTCTTTGTGGTTGTTGAAATAAGTACCTCTGTTCTTTACTGGGTGTTGGCTGGAGGCCACCCTCAGTTCCTTACCACATGGGCCTCTCCACATGGCAGCTTGCTACATCAAAGCATGCAAGCTAAGAAGCAATAGAGTCTGCTAGGAAGATGGAAGTCACAGTCTTATGTAACCTAATCAAGGAAGCAACATGATATTCCATTACTTTTGCCATATTCTACCATTTAGGAGGAAGTTATGAGGATCAACCAATACTCAAAGAAAGAGGATTATATAAGGGTGTGAATTCCAAGCAGTAGGGATCACTGGAGGCCATCTTGGAATTCTGCTTACCACATTCACCCTCTTGGAAGATGGATGGGAAGACCAGGCCCAACCAAACATCTCTTTAAGCATTTCAATATGAAACCAAGCCATGTTTCATAAAGCATGCGTGGTTTCCCAAGCATGTTGCTAAAATATCATTAAAACAAAACAAGGAAGAATAAGTGTAAAGGACATTAAATTTGCAGACACAAAAGTTTGCTCATATGTTCTAGGCAAATATAATCTACATGGGAGCAAATTCTTGGGATCATCTACATTTTCTCAAATCCCAAGACGGAAGCAATGTCTTCTGACCAACGAAACAAATGACTGACAAGAAGCACTGCCATCTGAACAGGTATAATGCCAAGAAATCTATTTTGATCTAGAAGCAAATATCTTCTGGAATTTTTGCTTATCGCTACAGAATAGTTTGAAAACATATATAATGCCATTTTATTGCTTGCTGTTTTCTCTGTGATCCATGTTTCCCTGCAGCAGTTTTGCCTGCATGATACTTTTAAGGTCCATATCCACTGCAGTGGCAAGGAACTACTATAAAAATTTCAAACCTTGACAGTCATCCACATTTTTTCTAAGCTCTACCCAACCACATATTTTCAGATACATGAGCATCCCAACATTGAATGGTGGTAAAAGGCCAGAGAGACTGCCTCTGAAGGACTTCAAATGATTTAATTTAAAGGCAAAACACATACTCAGAAAACCTGTAATACTCTGTCCTGGATGAATGTAAATGCAGACAAAAATTATCTTAACCCTAAACATTCAAAATTGGTCTGTGCATTTTATCATTCTTTCCCAGAAACACCCATATGCTTTACTTTCTGCAAATCCCATCCCTAATTCAGTAATAAAAATATTTAGGGCATTGTGTTGCTAATCATATTTACTTTTTCCTTTAGAGAGGTGATATTTGATAAACAACTAAACTTAGTACCACACCTAAAAGACTATGAAACCACAGCCACCTGTGGGAAAGCAATTGTAAACCACCTTAGAGTTGATATGTCCTGCATATGCTTGGATCCTGGATACGGGTTGAATAATAATGGAATGTATGTGCAGTGAGCAAAGACTAATACAAAATTCCTGTTTAATGGTCTTAAGCTGGCAGAAAGGTCATAAAGCAGATGACAAAGTGAATATTTTTAAGGATGTAGATATCTTCCAACCTGTGAAAATAACTTGATAACGTATTTTCACTTATAAATTAAGGCTTTGGGAAAATACAGTGAATGAGCTTACCTCCCTAAGATGTATGTTTTCCTTCTCTTTCTGGTCTAAAATCACTTCCAAGTGGCTGACCTGAGACTCAGCCTCTGCCATCCGCCGCGTTCGCTCATTGTCATCCTCCAGGCTTTTGGACGGCAAGCCTTTACTTTGCAACATCTCAAGAAGTTTTTTAATCGACTCATCTCGGGCATTGAGGGTTTGTTTCTGTGTTTCAATTCTCAGCTCCATTTCCTCTAATGTCTTTCTCAAAAGGAACAGCTCCTTAGCCTGCCTGTCATGTTCGGCTTGGAGCCGCCTGAAGTTCTCCTCAGTCAGCTCGATGGTGAAGTGCTCTGCTCCTCGGTTGCCACTCTCTTGCTGAAGGAGGTGGTTGAGGTCTCTCTGGGTTCGCAGCTCATCTTGAAGGGCCTGGATTGTCAACTGTAGGTGCTGCAATGAGAAAGACGGAGTGGGAGAGGAGACAGAAGGAAAAAAAAGTCAATGAAAATGTCAAGTGCCATTTGCTGCTACCACACTATGAAGATGGAATGTTAATCATGAAGTCCGGAGGGCCAGCCATGAATTCCTTCACGGTGACTTCAGAAGCATGGGACAGCACATGGAGAGGGGTAGATTAATTCAGTGATGCTTTCTGAATGTCTTGGGAGAAGAGAAATGCACACAGACACAGAAACAATAGATTAGTGTCAATCACAGGGAAATTATACATCTACAGCGTTTTAATTTAGGAAGTGGAAAAGGTTAGAGGGAAACTTTCACAAACACACCTTTTTTATGCCCAGAACGCTCCAGACTCAGTATTCCTTGTTTCCTAAGGTATTCTTTATTGTACTATCCATTATTTTCCATGATCAATGTGTGTTGATTTAAAAATGAAAATAATAGCATCCACTACAAGTAGACACAAACAAGGACTTTATTTTTTACAAATAAAGCTGTGAACAGGTTTAATAAACAGGATTACTGCATCTGCAAGCAAAAGGGAATAAATGCAGGCACAGACAAACACACTCAAACACGCAAGGAGGTGAGGCTGTGCAGAGCAGAACAAACAAGCTGCAAAGAGTGGACAAACCTTGGTTCTTCTGGCATCCAGTAACTGAACAGCATGGGAAATGAAAACAAAATGAAGCAAAAAATCAACACAAAGAAAAGTTCAGTGCAAGCAAAGGATATTTAACATAAAGAACTTAATCAACATAAAGTACCTTCACAGAAGAAAGAAGAAAAAAAAAAGAAAAAAAAATTCTAATTACAGCAAAGACCCATAAGCTACACAGAATTTATAGCATTGACATTCGATAGACATGAAAAAAAAGAAAGACCAAATGTGAGTTTATTTCACTTTTGTTTTCCTAAATCTCACTGACCCAGAAACCCAAAGTCTTGAACATATTACCAGAGAGGGAAGCACCTGTTATTTTGGGTCACCATTTTAAGCAAAGTCAGAGTGAAAGCACCAGAGAAAGAAAACAGTTAACAGATGAGAGAAAAAGCACCCGTGCTTGAAGAGAGTTGGCGAATTCAGCAATACCTTTCCCCGTAGGACAAACCCCCAGCCTGGTCACAGGAGGCAGCCACAAGCCTTAAGTCATTTCTATCCCTATGGACAAGCCAAGAGGCTTCCAAGACAGCAGTTATTTATTTGCAAAAAATGTGATCCTGCTTGTGGAATGAACACAATGCTAAGCACAGGAATCAAGAGGGACATAAGACATAGCTCCTCCCACAGGGAACTCACAGTATTATAAAGCATGGGTCATACTATACCTAAGTTATATGAATATTGGGGCAGTCAATATTTTGAAATCTTTCTGAATTCCTATAGCTGACACTCAGAGGTATTGAGATCTTTCTGAGTGTGGCCTACACCCAGAAACTAGCACTAGGTGATGCACTATCTCGATTATATTTTTTTCTGGGTATCCAGTTCACATTCCCAACTATGAATGTCCACTGATAAATTCTTAGAGCATAGGGAACACGTACTCTCTTCCTCATCTGTATACTACAGTGCCTCACAGGGTATTGAATGCAGAGAAAGAAACTGATACGTACTTATGATGGAGATTATACATTTTTAACACAATGCTCCTCTGTAAAGTGCAACATACAAAGTTGTGCAACCATCCACACAATAAATTTTTGAACATTACCTCAAAAAGATACCCCATGCCCTTTAGCAGTCACTTCCCATCTCCCTCCCTATCCTCAGGCCCTGGTAACCACTAATTTACTTTCTGTCTTTATGCCTATTCTGGACCTTTCATATCAATGATATCACTCAATAAGTGGTTTCTTTCACTTAGCATATTTCCAAGGTTTATCCATGTGGTAGTATGTATCTGTACTTCATTCCTTTTTATGGCTGAGTAATATTCCATTGAATGAATATATCATATTTTATGTATCCATTTATCAGTTGACTCATACATAAATATTCATAGCAGCAACATTCATTTTAGTCAAAAAGTGTTAACAATCTATTTGTCAATCAAATGATGAATGGGTAAATAAAATCTAGTATATCAATTTAATGGAATATTATTCAGCTATAAAAAGGAATGAAGTGCTGACATACAGGACAACATGGATAACCCTGAAAAGATTATGCCATGAGAAAGAAACCAGTCACAAAAGACTACATATTTTATGATTCCACTGACAGAATATCCAGAATACACATATTCATGGACAGAAAATAAATTGTAGATTGCTGGGGGGTGTGGAGAGAATTGGGGGACTCTAAAAGGTGTGGGGTATCTTCTGAGATGATAAAATATTCTCAAGTTAGATAGGGGTGTCTGTTGCACCACTTTGTGACTATACTAAAACCAATGAATTTCACACTGTAAATGAGTGAATTGTATGATACATAAATTATATATCAACAAAGTTGTCACAAAAAACATGAGGCGGGACTATAAAGTAATCTAACTTTCCTCCACCAGCCTGCTATCCTTAAGCCACATTAGAACAGAGTCCACAGGAGTATGTATAGCCTTCAGCCCAGGGATGCGGCTGTGGACAAGGCTCTTGAAAGAGTGCTTTGGCAACTGTCTTTGAGTCATTTTATATATATGTATATATACATATACATACATATTTTTTTTGAGATAGGATCTCACTCTGTCCCCCAGGCTAGAATGCAGTGGCATGATCTCAGTTCACTGTAACCTCCACTTCCTGGGTTCAAGTGATTCTCCCACCTCAGCCTCCCAAGTAGCTGGGACTACAGGTGCACACCATCACACTCAGCTATTTTTGTATTTTTTGTAGAGATGAGGTATCACCATGCTGCCCAGGCAGGTCTCGAACTCCTGAGCTCAAGTGATCCACCTTCCTCAGCCTCCCAAAGTGCTGGGATTACAGTTGTGAGCCACTGTGTCCAGCTGTCATTTAAATATTCTTGATCATGGCAAATCTTTGTCCTTTGAAGGTGGCTTGGATTTTTGAGATGACCCCAGTTTATCTGGAGTCAAACATCATGAATTGGGATGATCAGAAAGGAAATGATCTTTTCTGAGAGTGACCAAAAATAAGATTGGTTTTCTTACAATTCATAAACCAGCCAGAAGGGAATTCCAAAGAAAAACTGCCAAATGCTTTGAGCAGAAACAGCAACATTGGAAGGACACCTCTGTGAGGGAGCTGTTCCTTTGAATGAATACATTGCCTATTGCCCTGATCCTTTGTCCACACATCTACGCAATGGGGATCATCATAATGCCTACCATAGGGTTCCTGTGAGCAATGATGAAGATAAGGTGGCAAGTGCCAGGTTTGAGAGCAACGAGGAGGAGGAAGGATAATAGAAATGAAGGAAAATAAGAAGGAAGAAAAGCAGGAAAGAAGAAAGGGAGGAGAGAGAAATGGAGGGACAATTGGTCCATTTATCCATTTAATATACAGTTATCGAGTATCTCCCTCATACTCTTGAAATACAGAAAAAAGAAAAGAAAAAAATAGTCCACATTCACAGTCCATGTGGACAAGTAAACCAATAGTAACACTATGTCATAAGGGTTACAACAGAAATCATAGCCAGGTAGCTAGAAGTGCAGAGAGGAGGGAACCCAGGCTAGGGGCATGTAGGGAAACATCTCAAAACAAGCAGAAATGTGTCTTATTTGAAGGGTAAATGAGGGCATCCTTGTGAAGAATGATGAAAAGAGAAGAGAAGCTGTAAAAGCCAAGAGGTAAAGACAGGCCAGATCTATTAAGAAACAGTAAAAGCAAAAATCTATATATTATTTATAATACCAAATGCCATGCATGGTCCTAAGGTGTTTTAATCCTCAGAACTACCCTAAAAGGTAGCAATGGTTATGATTTCCACTTAATGCATAAGAAAATGGGGACACAAAGTATTTAAGTAACCTGCTCACAGTCACCCAGCTAGGTAAGTGGTACAGCCACAGGTGTTCATCCAGACACTTTGAGCCCAATGCCCATGTTCAAACCATGACATCATTGGCATCTGAATTGGCACAAATACTTTAAGATAGCTGGAAAAAAGAATGGGGAGGCAAGAGGTAGTAAAAGCAGACAGGCAGGCATTTATATCAGATACAGACATTCTCAAAAATAAGAATTAGCCATGTTGGCTAGGCATGGTGGATCATACCTGTAATCCCAGCACTTTGGGAGATCAAGATTGGAGGCCAGGAGCTCAAGACCAACCTGGGCAATGTAGCGAGACCCCATATCTATTTAAAAAGAAAGAATTAGCCATCCTAACGAGGAACAGCCTGGTTATGATGAATGCTTGCAGGCTGTACATTTATTAAGAAGCAAAATCTATATTTCAGGTAGTCACATTATTAGTTACTAAATGACTTCAACATGACAAAGCAGTCTCATAATCAGCATAAAATTTAGTGTTCAAAATTTTCTCTAATCCATGTTTATATTTAGTTTTCATTTTCTTTTAATTTTAAGATATTCGAAATCATATAGGAATCTTGTTCCTACAAAAGCAATTTTTCAGGAAAATACATAACTTGTAGCTCCTTGATCATCCTTCTGCTTTATATACTTGAAGACAGGGAGGGGATATGAAGTAATCTTATCCATCCTTCCACTCCCCTCCTCTCTACCCCCCCAATCTCTTCTTTCTCATTGTTCTACTTTTTAGCCATTCAACTCAATCAAGTTTCAAAAATCATTTACCAAGCTGGGCACAGTGGCATATGCCTATAGTCCCAGCTACTCGGGAGGCTGAGGCAGGAGGATCACTTGAGCCCAGGAGTTCAAGACCAGCCTAGGCAACATAGGGAGACTCCATCTCTTAAAAAAAAAAAAAAAAATCATTTACCAGATTTTCATCTCTAGTTACATATTTAAAATAGACAATTTCAATTATAAAATACAGTAAGAGCAATAATTCATAGAAATTGATGGCCTTTCTGTGCCTCAGTTTTCTCATTTGTATAAGGAGGAGAGTATTAATTCCTACTACCTTGGAATCATTAAATATAATGATGATAAGTCATTTAATGAGGATTAAATGACAATTAAATGAGTTAATACATACAAAGCTCTAGAAAGTACCACATGCAGATTAAGACATCAATCAAGATAGGCTTAGGATATGCTGCAATGATAATAGCAACAACAAAAAAATATTCTGAAAGACATAAACCACCTGCTGTCACAGAATAGGAACATTTGGAACTCAAAGAAACCTTTAAAATTGGCTTGTTAACCTCATTTTATAAACAAGAAAACTGTATCCACACAGATTAAATGACAGGCCCAAGAGCAGAAACACACTGACAAAGCCAGAATCTATGTTTCTGGGATCCTGGACTCCATCCTGGTATGTATTTCAATAACCCTAAGAGTAGACCAAAAGTGGGTAGCTCTACACTTTGACAACATAAGAAACGGCCATGGTGTCTCTGACAAGGATGATGAAAGATAACCCAAGTCACTTCACTTCCATGTCACTGGGTCCTATCCAGTAGTTAAATCACATGGAATTCCCCAAGGACAATTTATTTAAGACTTCCTTTCTAAGTCTTCAGAATTAAACTGTGTAGAGATTAGAAGACATACTCAATAAAAACTAGCTCTAAAGGACCAGAATACAATACA